CACTTGGGGAGAATCAAGTACTCAGGGCCCCCAAATCCCCCCCAGACACTGTGCCAGGTACTCACTGTCCAGGCAGGGCTCGCAGACAGTCTGGTTGACCCCACAGGGCTGTACCACCCCCTCACCCAGGTTGCAGGCTCTGCAGCACTCCCCACTTGTGGTGTACATCTTGCTGAAGCATTTCTCCTTGGAGCTCCAGGCAGGTCCCTGGGAGAGAGAACAGAACCAAGAGGTGACTTTTCTTACAACAGCAAGGGCAGGTGGAGAAGTGTGTGACATCCAGGTAGGGTCCCACTCTGGGTGATGTCCTGTGTTGGGGGGACTCACATATTGAATGCAGATCTGAGAGAAAAGATTTTTCTATGCAAAATTCACTTCTGAGGAAAGGCCCTGCTGGATTCTACATCTGGAGAATGGTCAGGAAAGCCCCAACTCTAAGGTGTGGGCTGGTGATGTGGACTTTTCCCCAGGGTTACAGCATTGGTTGTTCTTGTCTCTCACCTGAGCTGTCTCCTCTAAGGATGCTTTGCCATCCTAAAGGGCTCAGCCCTTCCCAGCCTAGGGGACAGGAGAGGAAACCTGTCTTTGGAGGGTTTGGAGAGCTTGAATGGCTTCACAGAGGGCTCAGAAATTGGACCTCACATGGAAACAAGGACTTGAAGAGAAAGCTGAAAACTTCAGCAACATCTCTCTCTAATGGAAGTGAGTGTTTCTGCTTGGAAAACCAGTCATCACACAGAGAAGCCAGAAATAGCTCCCAAGCCACCCAGCACAGACACTTTACAACTTGGAGAAAGGGATGCTAGAAGTGAGTGTTTCTGCTTGGAAAACCAGTCATCACACAGAGAAGCCAGAAATAGCTCCCAAGCCACCCAGCACAGACACTTTACAGCCTGGGGAATGGGGTGCTGCTCCCCAAAACACCTCTTTCCCAGGACTTTGAGCTGCAGAAACATCTCTGCCTGACCACAAGGCTGCTGAGATGCTCCCAGTTAGATCTGAGCTCTTCCAGGATTCCTTTTGCTCCCTCTACTTGCAGGCAGGTGCTTTCTGAGCTTGGAGCAGCCCTTTACCATCCGAGTGAGCTTGATTTCGGGGGAAGGAAAAAAAAAAAAACCTCATGAGAGGCTAGGAAGAACTCCCCTCCCCGAGCATCTGGATGCCTCGTCAGCCAGTTGGCCGCAGCTCCTCGCACAATGCAGCGTTATGCACTCGCTGAGCATCAGCAGCAGCATCCGGCCAGGCTGAGACAATGGAGCGCCAATTATAGGCATCTGAATGACAAACTGCTCCAATTACCCTGTGCTGGAAAGCATGTGCTTTTTCCTCCTTGCCTCTGCTGCTCCAGCTCAGCCTGGCAGTTCACTCCAGCACTGGGTTCCAGCTGGGCAGGCAAAAGGGTTTGGTGGATACGGGAGCATGGCAGTACCCCCCAAATGCCACCTCCAAACCTCCAGTTTGGAGGTGTGGAAGGGGGTTGGTTTGTATTAAGGGGGTTGGTTTGTATTAAGGGGGTTGCACAGCTCTCCTGGAGGATTTGGGTTTGGGATGAACTCGGTTGGAGTTCACTGTGCTGCTCCATCACTTGTGGTGTGTCTTTTGTTGGAGAGGGGTTTTTTCTTTCTCCCACCTCCCCATGGATGCAATTCCACAGCCATGAGCAGGGCTGGGGGAGCAGCCAGACGTGCCTGGCTATAAATAGTGCCGGGGCAGTGCAGCAAACAGTTCTCCCACGCCACAGGCAGCTGCGAGTGCCCGTGGGGATGGGACCTGGCAGTGTCATTTCCTCTGTGTGACACCCAGACCAGCCACAGCTGACCCCAGAGACCTCCTCTGGCCACTTGTCCCTTTCCATAGTGCTGCCAGCACTAGCTGATGCCACCCCTGTGCCTAGTTCACCCCCATCTATGCTGTCAAAATTACAACTTCCAGCTCCAGGTGCTGCTCCTCTAAAACTCTCTGCATTTCCCCTTCAGTTCTCACTGAACCCTCCTAAAGATTAACACACTCAGGAGAGAGAGGGGCACCTGGTCTGGGTTAGCCTGCTGAAATGTGTCTGTTATTAACACAACTTCTGTTGACAAAGCCACGGGTATTAACACCATAAAGCATTTTGACAGCTGGACCAAGGAAGGGGCACAGGACAGAGGGTAAAAGCGACACCTCTGTAAGCTCTTAATTGCTTTTGGAGCTGTGGCAGGGGGGGTTTGTGTCCTAGCAGGCACCTCTGGATAAGGAGATGGATGTAGAGGAAGCTATTTAAAGTGGGATTTCAGCACGGCACAGGAGAGCTGGCATTGAAAATTCACCCGAGCAGGGAAGGGAGGGGATGCTACAGCTGGAGATGAGCCCAGCGACAAGCCTGGCTCGAGCTGCCTGGGAGCCTGACAGACAAGCTCTGCCTCTCTTGGCGAAGTACCCTGTCTAGGAAAGGCCAAACCTCTGGCTCCAAGCAGTCCCCAAAGTTTGGGCAGCTGAGGAAGCCACGTCTGAGGGCTGTGAGTCCAGCCCGGTGCAGCAGGACTGGGATGCTCTGCCTCTTCCCACGTGGAGCTACTGCCCAAGCAGTGCAGGTAAAGAGCCAAAAACACAGGGTGCATTGGGTTTGGGGTGATCCTGGGGCTGTGGAAACTGCTGTGGGGGCACACCTGGGTGAGGGCACAGCCCCAGCTTGGCAGGTGTAACCCTGGGGGGCAGAACCAGCCCCCCAAGCAGTGGGGGCAACAGCTGAGCTCAGCCCTGACCCAGGGAAGTGGAGATTTGGGGGGCAGCAAAGCCCAGCTCTGCTGGAGGAGGAGGAGAGCTGAGAGGTGGGTAAATCCCTGGGGTGAAATCAGTTGAATCCATATGGCTGGGACAACTCTTGCCTTTCCTGCCACCGCCTGCTGCCACCAGCATTCCGGGGCAGTTTGGCCAGCCCAGTTCCATGTTCCCAGTCCCACGGGGGCACTGGGGGGAAGGAGACCCTCTGGCACAGAGCTACCAACACCACTCCCCTCCTCAATCTCTGCACGAAGCTGCTAAAGCTCCAGCTTTAATATCCTGCCCGAGGGGTGTCCAGCTGCCTAACGAAACCCCTGAGACCTCTGGCAAATCCTCCCCCAACAAAAGCTCTGCTTCTGTCCCACGTGGAGGGGTCCAGTCCCCCCATGCCCACCTGGCTGCCCATCCCTCTCTCCTGGCCCCCCCATGCCCTGAAGTTTATTGTCTGGGGTGCACGCTGAGGCTGTGCCCATCCCAAGGCTCAGACAGGAGGAAAAGGGGCTGAGCCTTTGCTCGGAGAGAGTTTGGAGATGGGAAACTGTTGGAGAGCTGGGGGATGTGGATGGCAGGAGGTGCAGGCACTGGGGGTGTGAGTGGTTTCTCCTTTCCTACTGACCGAGGGCTCTGTCATCTTTTTTTCCCTGGGTGAAAGGGATGGCAGAGCTCGGCGCAGCGGGATCAGAGGGGCTGCACAAACCATCTCAGTGGGACACCCATCATCATCATCATCATCATCCTTCTCCTCTCACCCCCTCCTTTCGCACCCTGGAGAGCTCTGCCTGGCAGCTCCAGTGCCTGCGGGACCCTCCAGCTTGTCCCGTCCCCCCCGGGACCTCCAGCCCCATCCCCTCGGGATTCTCCAGCCCGCGGCATGTGGAACCTTCCGTGCCTGCAGCCTGGGACCCCTGGGACCCCCCAAATCCCTCCGTGTGCTGTCTCCAACACTCTCCATCCCCGAACCCTCCATCCCACCCCCAACTGGTACCCCCAGGACCCTCCAAATCCCTCCATGTGCTGTCTCCAACACTCTCCATCCCCGAACCCTCCATCCCACCCCCAACTGGTACCCCCAGGACCCTCCAAATC